TTTCTTTTTAAAATGGAATTATTTTGTAATTAAATTTTAAAAAAAATTAAATTGTTTTTCTTTTAAAAAATAAAATAAAAAAATTTAAAAAAATTCAAAAAAATCTAATTTTTTTTCCCGATTCTCCCCCATTTTTTCCCGCAGCCCCGGGTCGGCGCAGCGGCCGCCAGACCTACAGACATTTTTACCTCCTTTTTATCCTTTCAACCTCCTTTTTTTACCATTTTTACCTCCTTTCTTACCCTTTTACCTCCTTTCTTACCCCTTCCACCCGCTTTTTTCACCATTTCCCCACATCCTTTCACACCAATATTTTCTTTTCCATTTAATACTTTGAAATTGAATTATTTTATAATTCAACTTTGTAAAAAATTCAAGTTTTTTTTTTAAAAAAATAAAAAAAAATTAAAAAATTAAAAAATAAAAAAATTTAAAAAATAAAAAAATTTTAAAAAATAAAAAAATTTAAAAAAATAAAAAAATTTTAAAAAATAAAAAAATTAAAAATTAAAAAAATTTAAAAAATTTAAAAAATAAAAAAAATTAAAAAACATTTTAAAAAGATTTAAAAAAATTGAAAAAAATTAAAAAAAATAAAAAAGATTGAAAAAAATTAAAAAAAATTGAAAAAAAATTGAAAAAAATTGAAAAAAATTGAAAAAAATTGAAAAAAATTGAAAAAAATTGAAAAAAATTAAAGAAAATTAAAAAAAAAATTAAAAAAAAATTTAAAAAAATTTAAAAAAAATTAAAAAAAAATTTAAAAAAATTAAAAAAAAATACAATAATTTTTTTTTTCCCCAAATTCTAATTTTTCCCCGATTCTCCCCCGTTTTTCCCCGCAGCCCCGGGCCGGCGCAGCGGCCGCCAGACCTACAGCCGCTACCAGACGCTGGAGCTGGAGAAGGAATTCCTGTTCAACCCGTACCTGACGCGCAAGCGGCGCATCGAGGTCTCGCACGCGCTGGGGCTGAGCGAGCGCCAGGTGAAAATCTGGTTCCAAAACCGCCGCATGAAGTGGAAAAAGGAGAACAACAAGGACAAACTGCCCGGGGCCGGGCGCGACGAGGAGAAAAACGAGGAGGAAGGCAACGAGGAAGAGGAGAAGGAGGAGGAGGAGAAGGAGGAGAGCAAGGACTGAGCCGCCCGCGGGGTTTTTATTCCCGGTTTTTATGGCGGATGATAAATCGCGGCCTTTACTGCGGTCATTTCGTTTTATGGAGTGGAGCTACCTGGCAGCTTCTTGCTTTTTTTTTTTTTTTTATTGCCGGGGAAACTTGGATTTTTCATTTTTTTAGGGTTTTTTTTTTTTATTTTCCCACCCTCTTATCCGCCGTTTATTCCGATTTTTTTAATCCTTTCCCCCCTTTCTAAAATAATTTTCCCCCCCTTTTTAAATTTTTTCCCATTTTTAAAGTATTTTTTAGCTGTTTTAAA